ATTTTCTTCTCAAAGTATTGTCCCTTCCTTTATGGCTTTGGAAGAACAAAACTTGGCCTTCAAATGGGATATAGCATCTATTGCTTATGGGCTATCAACTCTATTCCAGTCCTCATCTATGTTATCATCCCTGCTATTTGCCTCCATAATGAAATTTTCTTATTCCCTAATGTGTGTACACCTCTCCCTTTGAATCTCTTTACGTTCGTTCATTTATTATGTTTCTCTTTTGGCATTAAGACTTTGTTTTAAATACAACATTTACAAACAACAAATTTTTTGTTACACGAACTTTTTCGACAACATTTTTTTTCCTTTCAAATAAGTAAAAAGCATTATCAAACAAAATATGATGCTAATTTATATTCTCTTTTTAAATGTAGGTATTCAGCTTTTGGTTCATTCCATTTGCATTTGTGATTGCATTAAGTTATATTATTAGCTTGTGGGAGTCACTAATTCATGGTGACACATTGAAGGCTTGGTGGAATGAACAAAGAATATGGTTATATAAGAGAACAACTTCATACCTTTTCGCATTGGCGGACACAATTCTCAAGCTAATAGGTATAAGAAATCTAGCCTTTGTTATTACGCCAAAGGTGGTTGATGAAGAGGCATCCAAGAGATATGAGAAAGAGATCATAGAGTTTGGGTCCACTTCACCAATGTTTACAATATTGTCTACAATAGCAATGCTCAACCTCTTTTGCTTTGTTGGAGGAATTGGAAGAGTGATAATATATGAAGCAGGTGGAGCTTTAAGCTCGCTGTTTTTGCAATTCTTGCTTAGTGGGTCATTGGTTCTCATAAACCTTCCCATTTTCGAAGCTTCATTCCTCAGGAAAGATAATGGACGCATTCCCATGGGTACAACAATTTCATCAATTGCAATAGTTTTAGCAGCTTATTCCATAAGTATGTTTTTGGACAAGAAACTACTTATGGGTGCAGTTTACTTTTTAAAAGAGGGTTGAACTTACATCGAAGAACTTCATATATGGAAAGGCAAGGTCATACACTTTGCATGTCAGATTGTGTATTTAGTGCTCAACTTAGAGTTTCATTTAAATAACAATGCAATTTAGATTTGGGGAGTGTTATGTTATGTTATGTCATTTTTTAAAATATAAAAGATGATAAATAAGTTTTTTTTTTTTT